AAGCAAGGGCAAAAATGAACTATTGGGATTTTATCAAGATCAAAAGCTTTTGCACAGCAAAGGAAACAGTTAACAAAACCAAAAGACAACTGACAGAATGGGAGAAGATATTTGCAAACGACATATCAGATAAAGGGCTAGTGTCCAAAATCTATAAAGAACTTAGCAAACTCAACACCCAAAGAACAAATAATCCAATCAAGGAATGGGCAGAGGACATGAACAGACATTTCTGCAAAGAAGACATCCAGATGGCCAACAGACACATGAAAAAGTGCTCCGCATCACTCGGCATCAGGGAAATACAAATCAAAACCACAATGAGATATCACCTCACACCAGTCAGAATGGCTAAAATTAACAAGTCAGGAAATGACAGATGCTGGCGAGGATGCGGAGAAAGGGGAACCCTCCTACGCTGTTGGTGGGAATGCAAGCTGGTGCAACCACTCTGGAAAACAGGATGGAGGTTCCTCAAAATGTTGAAAATAGAACTACCCTATGACCCAGCAATTGCACTACTGGGTATTTACCCTAAAGATACAAATGTGGTGATCCAAAGGGGCACGTGCACCCGAATGTTTATAGCAGCAATGTCTACAACAGCCAAACTATGGAAAGAATCTAGATGTCCATCAACAGATGAATGGATAAAGAAGATGTGGTATATATACACAATGGAATACTATGCAGCCATCAAAAGAAATGAAATCTTGCCATTTGCGATGACGTGGATGGAACTAGAGGGTATCATGCTTAGCGAAATAAGTCAATCGGAGAAAGGCAACTATCATATGATCTCCCTGATATGAGGGAGTGGAGATGCAACATGGGGGGTTAAGGGGGTAGGAGAAGAGTAAATGAAACAAGATGGGATTGGGAGGGAGACAAACCATAAGTGACTCTTTTTTTTTTTTTTTTTAAAGATTTTATTTATTTATTTGACAGACAGAGACCAGAAGTGGGCAGAGAGGCAGGCAGGGAGAGAGAGAGGGGGAAGCAGGCTCCTGCGAGCAGAGAGCCCGATGCAGGGCTCGATCCTGAGATCACGACCTGATCCGAAGGCAGAGGCTTTAACCCACTGAGCCACCCAGGCGCCCCCCATAAGTGACTCTTAATCTCACAAAACAAACTGAGGGTTGCTGGGGGGAGGGGGGTTGGAAGAGGGGGAGTGGGGTTATGGACACTGGGGAGGGTATGTGCTATGGTGAGTGCTGTGAAGTGTGTAAACCTGGCGATTCACAGACCTGTACCCCTGGGGATAAAAATATATTATATGTTTATAAAAAATAAAAAAATTTAAAAAAAAAAAAGAAGTCATTGTTTTCCCCAGCGCTCAAGGTGGGGATCAAATGAAGGAAGAGTGAGGATCCCTACAGCAGCATTTCAATCCAAGTTGATGGGCTTTATTTTCTTTGTTTCTAAATTCACAATTGTCTTTTCTTTCTCCTTCCATCACACACTCGTATAATGGCTTATGTGTTTCCTAACTCTCTTTCATAGATTTCTTTCTATCATCTGGGGCAGAATGTGAAGCTCTTAAAGAAAATTGGCATGTTGTGCATGGTCTGTATACAACCCAGAGAACCTTTTTAAAAATGGGTAAAAACATACCAAATAAAGAAAAAGAATTTGGGAATGATATATTTACAAAATACAACAAAGGGTTGAATTCCTTATTATGTGTATCAATTAAAAATTGTACTTTGGCTTAAAAAACAAACAAACCCAAATTGATCTGTGTTATTCCAGATGAATTGTCAAGAACTGGGTACAGCTCACCATGTTTCATTTCTCCTGCTTTAACAATTGTAGATTCACAGACAGGGTGCTTCCCTTAAAGCAGCACCTGAGTCACTGGAGTAGAATAGAATTTTGCAATGTACCTGGGATGAACAGGCACCATGAAGATGTGTGTGAGGCCTGGGATCTAAGTTGGACCTACACCATAACATCGCCTATCTTATGTGTACACATGGTACCTGTTGTACCAAGTCTTAATTTTGATTGTGACATTCAAAGCTATCCATCAATTTTCTTTACCATAATCAAAAGTCTCCTTTAGACCTTCCAAAACTTGACAGTCCATTCTGACCAGTAGACTCACCGGTTATTACATGAGATACTATATCTCTGGGTATTTCCAATGTCTACACTTTTGTTCAGCCTTTTCTAGCTATATAGAATAGCTTCCTTAATCCTCCCAAAACCTAAGTTATCATGCTTTATTCAACACCCATGTGAACCCAGCTTTTTTGACAAAGTCAGTCACAATGATCTGTATATTCCACCAATTTCCAAATCTCTAGAAGTCTGTATCCCATATTTGCATGCTTCTCTGAATCATTTTTTGGTTTGTTCTGATGTGTTTTATCTCTTTGATGACATTAACGTGAGCTCTTTTAATACCTCCCAAAATTATTTTTACAAAGTTAGACCCAGATTAGGAGATTGATGTATTCAAATCTATTCATTCATTGATTTTTTTCTGTAATACACTTAACAAAAACCATGTACCACACTAGGTATGCAATGCCGGAAATGCAAAGATGGAAAAGATAAACCCGCTCCCATAAAAAGGTTCAAAATTTGTAGGGGAGAGAGAAATGTACCATCCTAACTCTAAATGTATTAAACTGGTAAACATAAATGCACTAAAAGGCAGAGGTGATCATGGGGGAAAGGAGTCACTATAATAAAGTACATTGTTTCCGTTCATTCATTTATTCATTCCCTCATTCAGTCATTCAACAAACAGTATTTGCCTGTAGCATGACAGGAACTCTTTTTTTTTTTTTTTAATTTAAATTCAATTTAGTTGACATATAGTATATTATTAATTTCCAGGCTAGAATTTAGTGACCCATCAGCTGCATATAACACCCAATACTCATTACTTCCAGTGCTCTCCTTAATGCCCATCACCCTGTTACCCCATCCCCACCCACCTCTCTTCCAGCAACCCTCAGTTTGATTCCTATAGTTAAGAGTCTCTTATGGTTTAACATGCCAGGAATTCTTAAGATTTGGATGCTGAGATGAAAGGTTGGAAGATACAGCCTCTATTTTTCAGGGTGTTCACATTCAAGAGAGGAAGACAGTGAGTAACCAACAAACTATAGCATAGTCTAAAAAATAGCATTACCTTGACAATTAATTGTGATAGATGTCAGCTATCTTTACATCGATTAGTTTGGATTAGTTAGGGATATTATTATGTCTCTATTTCACCCTGAGTACCTCATATCTTTTTTTTTTTTCATTTGTTTATTTATTTGAGAAAGACAGAGAGAGAGAGAGTGTGTGTGTGTGTGTGTGTGTGTGTGTGTGTGTGTACTAGTGGGGGGAGAGGCAAAGGGAGAGATTCTCAAGCAGACTCCAAGCTAAGCACAGAGCATGATGTGGGACTCAATCTCATGACCCATGAGATAATGACCTGAGCCTAAACCAAGAGTTGACACTTAACCGACTGAGTCACCCAGGTGCCCCAATATCCGAGGACCTCACCTTTAATAAGAGTAACCAAAAAAAAGCAAATGGCGTGGTCTAGGTTTGGATTTCCCCAAGCTTAATGAACAGAGAAACAATTCTCATGGTTGATCCATCATTTTAAGAAATGTCAAAAATGTACCTTTTACTTAACATGGCTAAATATTACCATAAATTAGCCTCTACTTATCTAGTTTAAAAACCCAATGCTTACTTTAGAAAGAGAGTAAAAGATAATCCAAACACCTAGTTAAAATAAATACCTCATTAAGCTTTCATTGTTACTGGTTCATAATTACTGTTTATTTTATCCCTAGTTTGAATGGTTCTCATGAAATTAACCATAATATCCAGTTTTTCTTGCTCTTCTACACTTGAGCTTGCTTTGGATTTTAAGGCAGCTTTTCTCAAAAATGCTTGTAGGCAACTTCTTCCAGCCTGACTGTTAGGGTCTCTCTGGAGACAGAGCTGGGCTACTTCTTTTCAATTCAATTTACATCAATAAACATGCGTCAAATGGCCACCAAGTGCTTTAGAGATAAAAAGGTGAGTAAATCACAGTCCATTTCTTCCATGAATTGATAATGTACAACTGAGTTCTAGGAACTTTCAAGAGAGAGGCAATTGACTGATCAAAGAAAATTATCATTATGTGCCCAAATAGGCTTCCAAATTATCTGTGTGCTAAGAAGGATGCTTCATTAAGTTACTCATTTTCTCTGGTTCTAGCAGCTCAGCCAGAGGAAAAAAAAAAGAAAGAAAGTTCTTTGATTGCAGTATGTTGTCCCTGGCCCACGTAAGATCCAAACCAATACCGTTCTACTAGCAAAGATCCTTTCTTCACCAACCAAGCAAATTGCATATAGCTTCATTCTCCCACCAGGTGTTCATATACAATCAACCAACTGCAAATACCACCCCACTCTACTATAAACTTCCTCCTGGTCAGTCTCCTACAGGAGCTATGCCCTTGCCCATAATATACAGCATTTTACACACTTACACACTTTTAAAAGAATAGAGAATGGTTTATACATAAATCATATATATGTGTATATTTATATCATATAAAAATACTCCAAATATATATACAAACCTCCATATACTAGAGAGAGAGAGAAGGAGATGTTCAGAAATCTCTAAGTCATCAGAGTCAATAAAAGGAAAAATTCTTTTAACCAAGATTTAAATGAAGACCATGCAAAACCACTGTGTTATTGGACAAAACCTAAAAAATTTTCTACAGATTTTATTTCTCAGATTTCCACACTATATAATGGGCATATAAGATTTTTCCAATTTGAGGTCTCTGAGATAAATTTACCTTTAGAATTTTCAAAAGTTATACCATGAAATGAATATTAACTTATTCTTTTTTGAAAAATGTTTCCTAAGTAATTCCAAAAATTCTCTTTCTCAACTTAGTTTAGGAGATTTGTAAACAACATTCAGAGATACTCTCTCTCTTTCCCTGAGAGACTGTGTATATGTATTCTGTCAAAGAAACATACCCAGATGCTGTCTTCTTGTCGATATTGTTTCCAGTTCCTGCCACTGTCGCTGAACATCAGGAGGTAGCTGGTCACCCAGTTGGAGCTCCCGTATCCCCCCTGGGTGGCCACAGCGGTGGTCTCCATTCTCTCTCCAAGGTCAATCTGCAACCACTGGTATTTGTTTGACACAAGTGGAGACCAGCCACCAGCTCCTTTTATGCAAACAGAAACAGAGGAAAATGGGCAAAAGATTCGTTACAAATCTGTGAGTGGACTAGAGATGCTAGCAAGACTGTATTTCTGGATGGAATTTAATAAAGTTAAATTTCCAAAATATGAAACTTCTCATAATTGTAGAATAATACAGAAAAACAAGAATTTACTATAAAAGGATGAAGCTTGTGTTAATTATGTTCATTTCTAGGTATTATAACTCCCTGACACTGGGGAGAACCAAGGATCTTATCGAAAGTTTAAAGTACTTAATTGGACAGGTAGACATTCCTGTCTACACTTGGAACTAGCAGGTTTGCTGCCCACACACGATTAGGTAATGATTTAACTTTCAATCGTGGTTCACACTGTGGTGGAACTAGAAAACTGCCTTTGGTATCTGATCACGTTCAGACTTCCTGGAGAAAGAAGTACAGCTTTAAGCCTGACAATACAGATGGTCAAGGAACTGTCCCTATCCCCACTGTGTTTACAGTCCTGTGGGAATAACAGACATTGAGAAGCATGTGTGAAGCACAAATGTTAATGGTGAGACAGGTGCAGGGAACAATAATACAATAAATGATGGCGGAGAGTTCTATCCAGCGGAATGCTGGACCTGGCTGGCAACAGTGGATGAGAGGCAATTAAATTTTCAGAAATTTTGCAAGCTGATTGTTAAATGTAGCCATGGTGGGAATATTTAAACCACAGAAATTGGCAAACTCTACAAATCAGTCCGCACACCCAGCCCAGCCAATTCACTAATATGACACTGGTTCTATCCTGTCCCTGGAAGGGGTTGGTGGATGGGGGATGGAAGATGGGGGAGGGACTATCAGGGAAAAGGTCACAGAGTCGGGAGTGCTTGAGCACTCGAAAGTGAAAAATAAGAATCTACTGTATGTTCAAGAGTGTACAGGTACAGCAGAACTTATCACATTTTCTTTTATCCACTGCACACCAGAAATATTAGAGATGTGACTACTGTATGTCTTGTTAAGATATTTCATACTTCCAGTTTAATACAATAATGCCTTATTTGGGGAATTTATTTTAAGTAATACTGACATTGATAATTATATAAGTAATATGTAATCACTGGAAAAGTCATGAAATAGGATTTAACACCTTCTTAAATTCATAATTATTGAATATTCAGTATCTATTAAGATGCAACTTCTATTACATAACACCCCAAATAAGAATATGAGCACATGTTTTCTTTCCCCCATTCTTTTGTCACCCACCTTAAGGCTCTGATATAAGGTCTAATATTTAAGTAGAAGATCACCTCGGTGAAGTAAGTCAAGCAGAGAAAGACTGTTATCGTATGGTTTCACTCAAATGTGGAACATAAGGAATAGCCCAGAGGATCAAAGGGGAAGGGAGGGAAAACTGAATGAGAAGAAATGAGAGAGGGAGACAAACCGAGAGACACTCTGGACTCCCGGAAACAACTGAGAGTTACAGAAAGGAGTGTGTTGGGGGCATGGGGTAACCAGGTGATGGGTATCAGGGAGGGCACGTGTGGGGATGAGCTCTGGGTATTATATGCAACTAATAATCAGCTGCTCACAAATGGGAACTGACCATCCTCTTGTCAAAGCCTCAAAATTGAGTCAATACAGCATTTAAAAAAGAATTACATGACAACAATCTCTTCTTTCGATGGTATAATACTAATATTTTGGTCTGATTCCCAAGTTACTCACCACATTGTCTTTAGAACTAGATACTTTTTTCCCTCAAATCACCTTTCTTCTTGGAATAAGTCATTGTTCAAAAGTGTCTTCCACTCCGTACATCAAAAGTATAATGCTCTCTCTCCAAAGCTCTCTCTCCCTTTGATCAAAAATATTTATACATATTATAATTTTTATTGGATTGTGTTTACTTTTCATTTTCTCTGTAGCTGCTCTTAAAAACTCTGTGGTTTTGCCCAGTAGCCTGAATGAGTGGCGTTCTCTTGGTCACCAATACCGCTATAATGTTTAAGTCAGAGGAGAATATTCTCATATTTTGAGCAGGAGGGCTTGTTGGTACACATGGGCTCCAGCTGCATTTTTGGTGTCCTGGTGTCATTTATCCAGCACAGCTCTGCTGTTCCCAAGGAGCAGCCCCTATTCTTGTAGCCTGTTATCTACATGGAAGAGAATTTGTTCTTGAATGATCTGAAGACTATCTTAAATAGCACCCTCCCACAAATAGCCCAGGAAATTCCTGAACCCTCCATGGGACCTGTTCCCACAGCATTACTTTTTAAAGCCAGGCCAAATTTCCTTCGTGTTCCACCTCTCCAGATGTAATGAAACTCCATCCTACCTTTTCCCCTTATTCTACTTTACTTAATATTTACTGAGCAAGGGAGGGCTTTGTATCAGGCACAGTGTGAAGGTTTGTTATCCTACTGAATAGAGGACAAGTCATATAGGGAGAGTCTGAATACCTTGCTGTAGTCCACAGAGCAGCAAGAGGCACGGAGCTCTTAACCAGGACCCGTAGTGCCTCTCATATCATTAGGATAAATAGAATTGGTATTTCCCAATGGATGTACAAAAAAGGGAGCTGAGAGAGATAGGGGAACCCTAGAATTTAGCTATCAGGCAGTAGAGCCAACTTTCCTCCCTCAACTTAACGAAAACCATGTCTCTCAAGTACAGACACGGGATGGGAGTGGCGAATGGGTAATTATTTCCCTCCACTGTCCTCTCTCATCTTACTACTTGTCCTCAGGATCTATCCAAGTCCGGAAGTTGACAATTTCCTGAAGTCTGATGCTACCCAAGCATCCACAGTCCCTTTATTGCTACAGCTGCATATCTCTTTGTATTTTTATCATTTTTTTTTAAACACAGAAAAGTTGGAAAAGAGTGAAGGAAGCGTCCCCAGCTGGCCATCACCTCAACCTGACATTTCAACATTAGGAATTTTATCACTTTCAGCTTATACCTCTGGGAAAGCGCTGATTGTTTTGGGTCTTGATCTTTCTTGTTAATTTCAACAGTTTGTACACTTTTTAATATAGAATTTCATAATCTTTCTCTAGCATTTTGACACTCCTTGATAGAACAGTATTTAAAAAGTGAACACATGAGAGGAGCACAGTGAAGAAAAAAGAATCAGCAGGACTCTGGTGAGTTAAAATTGGATCATCAATTCTCATCAGGAGAAAGAGCTACCTCTCACTGACCGCTCCCTCTTCCCAGCACCGCTCACTGTTACAGCTGCACTACCCGACTTGAAACATTCGCAGTTAATTGACCTGGAACATTTCAATTTCTCACCTGCAGTGAAAAGGTACTACTGATATGCAAATTAAGCTATATCATTAACAAGGTACACCAATAAAGTAATGGAAATTCGGATGCTCTTGGGCTTTACCAAGTTAAATCGGCCACAGGGAACCCAGAGATTCCCCACGGGGTTTTAAGCTGTTCGGCTCTTCGGAGGCACGTGGTCTAAGATGTGATGGAGTGTTACACTTGTTCTAATTTTAAAACAAATGCCGAAGAGTAACATGGAAAATGCAAACGTATGGATATGGGTACAGAGATGGATAGAACATGGCACACTTTGGCAGTGGCAAACTGCGGGGACAAGTTAAAAACAGTAGTGACAGGAAATGAAAGCCGACTTTAGGTAACAGGAGCCACATGCCCACCGCAAAGCACCTAGCTTCCTGGAGCCGTGCTGTTTTCATATTTACTTTTTTTAATGGAAAAAATGAAGGGTAACTCCAGCTGATGGTGAACTCTAAATTACTATAAAGTAAAAAATAAGAATTCCTTCTTTTATTTATTAACCAAACATTTTAGCAGTTCAACAAGGATTATTCATCCTTAAGGAAGATTTTTAATATGCCCATGTGTTCACAATCACAGAAGACCAACACCTACAGACCAAAGACCACCTGTTCATAACCCCATCTATTCCATGGTTATTGACACTTAACCCACAAAACAAAAGAAGGAGTCTTGTCCCCTCGGCTCACTTTTTTCCTATTCCACTCTCCTTTTTCTCCAGCTGTGGCCTCATCACTGAGACTTGGCATAATAAAGTGTCATAAGTCTATCCAAACAAAAACATTTGTTGACTCTTCGTATCATAGCCTGAAAACTCACATTTAAAACTGAAAATCCTTCCCATTGATGAGACTTTGAAGTTAAATGTTGTAGTATTTGTTCTGAGAATTAATCTCAAAAAGCATATTAAAGTGCCTATTGATTTCTCTCACACACAGCAAGCATGTGGATACGTAGTCGTTCCTTTTTGAATTGTAAAACAATTATTATTACTACTGACTCCAAATAAAGATTTATGATCACAGCACTAAATTCAGTTTTGAAAATATTTAATTCCTGAATGACCACAAACACAGCATCTCTTTTATCTGTTGCCTACCACTTTTAAACATCAGTTTCCTGGGGAACTTGCTTCGATAAAAAACGTTGCTGTGAGTCGTAAGGAAAGAAAAGCAAACTATGAATTGTCTAGTGCCTATTGTATGTTAAACACTCTACTAGAAATTTTATGTATCATATTAAGTTTAATTACTAAAATTACCTAGTGAAGTGAAATGTCCTAACCTCTCTTCAAAGAAAACTCAAAAAAAAGATTTACAGAGGCTAAGTAAGTTTTCCTAGTATTATGCAAATTAAATTTTCCCAATGTTCTACACATCATTTTAGTGTAGGTAAGAAATTACTTATTTTTAAAAATAATTTAGGGGCACCTGGGTGGCTCAGTGGGTTAAACCTCTGCTTTCGGCTCAGGTCGTGATCTCAGAGTCCTGGGATCAAGCCCCGCATAGGGCTCTCTGCTCAGCAGGGAGCCTGCTTCCCCCTCTCTCTCTCTGCCTGCTGCTCTGCCTGCTTGTGATCTCTCTCTTCCTCTGTCAAATAAATAAAAAAAAAAAATCTTAAAAAAATAATAATTTAATCTCTGTGAGGATCTCATTTTAAAAGTCACTTCCTTTTCAGTTCTTCACCCCTGAAAT